ATCAGTCACTATCCTCCCTTGTATTTATCCATATGTTGTAGTTATCCTAATCATTATAGGATTAGGATAATCATCCCCTTTATTGTTGTAATCCTTATCTCCTAAGGAATATGCTTATTCTCTTGTATGTATATATATGTATGTGCACGTGATGAATAAGATATACAGAGTTACAACCTTCTTCTTTATTCTATAACATATATGTTATTATTAGTTGGTTTGTGTGTATTTGAGCATTTTTTAATTTTATTTTACGTAAGTTCCTCCTCCAAAGATTGGGTCTATCTATAGTCTCATGCAAGTAAACAACAAGAAAAGATCCTGAATCATTTTACTTTTCTTGTACTTTCTACAATAACCATTTTTAATTTTTCTTCTTCTTGATATTTACTAAGAAAAAATTGATCATTATTTATATTAATTAATAATCATACTCAAAAAAGTATAATTGTTGACAAAAAAAGTATAATTCTATTTCTATAAATTACCCTTCTGTTTGAAAGAATAATAAAGAAAACTAGAAAGCTAATGTAGAATTGGTTAATTAGGTGGAGAATAAAATTTCAGGCAGTAACTTAATATAAAATTTGATCAAGTTTTTCTTAGTATATAACTCGAAATGTACTAAAAGCCAAAAAAAACGTTGATCAATGTTTATTTTTTTAATGAATTGCCTAAAATTTTGTTATACCGAATTAACAAAATTACAATGGTTTTCTACTATTTGTTTATTTATGTTATGACAAAAATATAAAGTTATAGAAGTAAAAATAAACTTTTTTAGTGAATGATCATAATAAAAATTAAACTAAATTTAACAATTTAAATTATGTGGTCACAAAGGACAAAGTTAAGACCCGACTTAGACATTTTGTTATAAGTATACTCGGATGACAACAAAATTAGTGTATGAGTGGATCACATGGGGACTGGATTATTTGATTAATCTAAAAACCTTTGATATATCTTAGATCTCGATCCCTTGGTTGGTTGTGAGGTGGAAAGCTCATGGTGCTAAGAAAAATAATGCGATGAGTATTTTATCAAATTTCGAAGCAAAAAAGTCTAACTCGTCTCTACTAATCGTCTCAATAGAAGTATAGTGTTGACCAAAAAAAAAAGTATAGTTTTCCCATTATTGATAGAAATTATCATGGTTGTGTTTTACAACAATGAGAATAGTAATATTTTAATTAGAATTTCAGTAAAAATTATCTCAACAAAGTTATCGTTGCCAATTGTAGAATTTTGAAGTAGAATTCATCAGAAAGTTTGAATATTTGGCTACGTGAAGTAATTTTTTTATAAATCTTTTCTTTTTTTTTGTTTTATCTACTATTTACTTCTTTATTGAAAAGAAGACTATTTATGTAACTTTCTAGTGTCGGTTCACAAATTTGTAATTAATAACTTAGGTTGTAGGAAATAGTAAGTGCGACTATACAATAAGAAGTTGAAACTATTTATGAATGAAGAACTGTATAAAAATAATCACGTTAAACTTTCAACATTGTTAAATGGCTTAGTTCATCATGTTGTCTTTTAAAGAGTTCATCATGTTTTATGGTTTAGAATTTTTCTATATCCTACATTATTAGAAAGAATATTTCTCAAAAATTTAATAAGAAAAAAGTACATAAAACGTGTAACCTTTTACAATAATATACAACATGTAGTAATTTAAGACCATAAGTTAATGATTTATAACCTAATAAGAAAATAACATGATTTGTGGTCAACGGCATGAAAAATGCTAAAACTAAATGTTATTGTTTATCTAGTTATCTTAACAGACATTATAGTATTAATTTTTTTTTATACATGTATTTTGTGTAAAACGACACATTTTTATTGAGTATTTAATTTAATATTAAAGTGGCTTTCGTTACAATTTGGTCCACGTTCACGGTATATTGACATAATTAACGTTATAAATTGGGCTGTGTATTATTGATTAAGAGAATATTTATATATATAAAATAAGTATAATCAAAATGCTTACCAATAATTATGCAACTAATATAGAAAGTCTTTATAAAAAAACTAATATAGAAAGTGATATCTGAGATTTGAGAGTAATCATATGTGATATGATACTATTTCCCTAACACGGTATACATCAGTGCCCATCAAATTATGCTTTAATTTATTTTATACTCCGATCTTGGGTTTCATTGGTAATAATAACAGAATAAAAATGTCATAGAAAAGAAAGTTCAAAATGGAGAAAAAAAAGAAAAATGGGAATGAAAGTAAAAAAGTTCTTGATTAAAGGGGCTAGTATTACTCCCTTTTTTTGTCAAAGGGTAGTATTACTCTAGTTTTGAATAAATGGACTAAATCTATTTCTCTTGATGGGGTGGAAGTAGAATACATTATTACGGCTAAAATACTATACACTCACAGCCATCATCACACCATCGATATACATGATTACAGTTCAGTGAATTTACTATAAATGTAATTAACTATGGTGTAGGCAAGTTTTCACAGCTTATCGATGACGAGTATTAATATAAACTTATGTCAATATTTCAGCTGATTTCTCTAATCTCCTAAAAGAGCACTATCATTTGTCTAGTGAAACACACCGGAACATGGACTGAACAAAATTAGATAGAAAATTTCTGAATTGGGTAATTTTATTCGAATTGGGTTTGTAACTGAAACTTTATTCCCGTTCTCGTGTTGCATTTATCTAATTTCAATTAAAAAAACACTATCATTTTGTTTAAAGACTCGAGATGTATATGCATATACAGAATGAAGAGCTGCTAATAATTTTCAGAAACACGAGGAAACACAATCTCCTCTCAATATTTAGTCAACCCAAAAAACACATGCTCTCCCATAACTAATTATCTAAAACAAATAAACTATCTTAATACGCTCTTTGGGCTTTGCTTCCACGAAGGCCGTTTGTACATATAGCCCAAGTCCAAATTGTGAAACTAGTTAATACTTAATATAGTAACACAATATTGCTTCTAAACATTGGCAATTCCTTAAAACCTAAAGACTTGCTGACCATTAGAGGTGTCTTCTACAACTCTATCGAACCACACAACCTTGCTGTATTGTGAAAATATTGGCAAGAAAAGTATAAAATATTAGTATTTGGTTGTCATCTTTTTTTTTCAGAGCATATAATTGTTCCTTGCAAACTTCTAGAACTCTCTGTCTCAAACAAAATCTAGCAAACTCCTTACATCCTTCAGTTAAATAAGGACCGTCCGATCAACATATTAAAACTACATCCAACGGCTGAAAAAAACAAACGCTACAAATAGATAAACTACACTCAAACGGGGAGATGAACGAACTGTTTTACCCTCTAACTCTCTCTCCCTTATCCCTCTCCGCCACTCTTAACAAATGGCCGGTCTACTCAAAACGCCGTCGTTACACCTAACACCGTCTCTTATTCACACACCCTCTGTGCCCTTCAAGCCCTTTTGCGTCTCCTTCGCCGGAGGAAGGAACACGAGCTTCTCACTCTCTCGCCGAGCTTCTCTCCGTTCCGTCTCCGGTGGGTATCCTCTCCGGTTAGTTAGCTTCGTACCCTTTGCGTCTGGAGATGCCGAGACGACTGAGACGGAGGTGGAATCTAGCGAACCTGAAGTCCAGGTTTTTCGATTTAACCCTCATCTCTGTCTTACCTCTTGGTGGCTTTTAAAGATGTTAATTGGCTTGATTAGGGTTTAGGGTTTCGAAATTTGAAGCTTCTGGTGTGTATATTTGTGTAAAGGTTTAAGCTTTGTTGATTATATTAGCCTCTGAAGGATTTGTATTCAGTCTGTTAGTGTGATTGTTTTGGTCAATAGATTGTGATGGTGTGTTGAGACTCTGTTTTGTTTCAGCTTCTTTGCGTAAAGTGCTAAGCTTTGTTGATTATATTAATCTCTGAAGGATTCGTATTCTGTTATTAATGTGATTGTTACGTCAATAGATTGTGTTGAGACTCTGTTTTGTCTCAGCTTCTTTTGCTTAAATTTTGAAGCTTTGTTGATTATATGCTCCCCGAAAAGGATTCGAATTCTGTCTATTAATGTGATTGTTTAGGTCAATAGATTGTGATGGTGTGTTGAGACTCTGTTTTGTCTCAGCTTGTTTGCTTAAAGTTCTAAGCTTTGTTGATTACATTACACCCTGAAGGATTCGTATTCACTCTAATAATGTGATTGTTTAGGTAAATAGATTGTGATGGTGTGTTGGTACTCTGTTCTGTCTCAGCTTCATTGCTTAAAGTTTTAAGCTTTGTTGATTATGTTACCCCCTGAAGGATTCGTATTTAGTCTATTAATGTGATTGTTTAGGTCAATTATCAGTAGGTTGTGTTGAGACTCTGTTTTGTCTCAGCTTCTTTGCTTAAAGTTCTAAGCTTTGTTGATTATGTTACCCCCTGAAAGATTCGTATTCAGTCTATTAATGTGAAAGTTCAGGTCAATAGGTTGTGTTGAGACTCTGCTCAGCTTCTCTGCTTAAAGTTTTTAGCTGTGTTGATTGTATTACCAGCTGAAGGATTTGTATTCAGTCTAGTAATGTGAATGTTGAGGTCAATGGATTGTAATGGTGTGTTAGTACTCTGTTCTGTCTCCGCTTCCTTGCTTAAAGTCTTAAGCTTTGTCGTATACACTCTAGTAATGTGATTGTTTAGGTCAATAGATTGTGATGGTGTGTTAGTACTCTGCTCTGTCTTAAAGTTTTTAGCTTTGTCTATTATATTACCCCCTGAAGGTTCAGGTTAATAGGTTGTGTTGTATTATTGGACTCTGTTTTGTCTCAAATTTATATGAAAAGTATGTATAAAGTGGGTTGCTTTCTTTCTTCTATAATCATAAAGCAGGAGACTGATGGAGTTGAGGATGAAAATGCTGGCGCCGAGGAGGAAGAAGCGGTGGTTACCATAGCATTGCTGAACTCTTATAAAGAAGCTTTAGCAGAGAATAACGAGGAGAAGATTGCTGAGATAGAAGCGTCATTGCAGTCCATTGAAGATGAAAAAATTCAGCTAGAGGAGAAAGTCACTGCTCTAACCAATGAGTTAGCGGTGGAGAGGGATCGGCTGATAAGAATCAGTGCAGATTTCGACAACTTCAGGAAGAGGAATGAGAGGGAGAGGCTAAACCTTGTTTCAAATGCTCAAGGAGAGGTTGTTGAGAATCTTTTGGCGGTTTTGGATAACTTCGAGAGAGCTAAGTCCCAGATTAAGGTGGAGACTGAGGGAGAAGAGAGAGTCACTAACAGCTACCAGAGCATATACAAACAGTTTGTAGAGATTCTAGGTTCCCTTGGTGTTGTCACTGTGGAGACAGTCGGCAAGCAGTTTGATCCAATGGTAAGTTGCATAGCTAATGCCTATTACTAGAGATAGATAAATGCATTTTGTTGATCAAAATGCATATATATGGAGGTGGTCTGATGGTTTCTAAAATCAAAATTGTTTGGGATTAGGATGAACTTCTTGGTATAGTGCTGCAGGACTAATCTTGATCAGAACATAGATGTGGATGTTACTATGATGCTTATAATGACTTATCCTAATGAGCTGCCTTTTAGTATAAGTACACATCTTTGGAAAAGTTTCTGAACTTTACTTGAGTGGTGATGGGTCTCAGTGAGCTGGTAGTTCACTTTACATAATGCCTTTGTTTGTTGATCTTTCTAGAAGCTGACATCTCTTTTGTCTTTTTGCTTTTTCTGTTTTGATGTGTGAAAGCTTCATGAGGCAATAATGAGAGAGGATTCTGCGGAATACGAAGAGGGTATAGTACTTGAAGAATACAGGAAAGGTTTCTTGCTAGGGGAAAGACTTTTACGTCCTTCCATGGTGAAGGTGTCAGCTGGACCCGGACCAGAAAAGACAGGTGAAACTGAAGGAGAAGTAGCCACTGCACAAGGAAGTGCAGAAGAAGCAGAAGCATCTTCATCTTGAGTGAAAGACAATTAAGACTAAGCAGTTTTGTGGTGTGCGTGAGAGAGGGAAAAGGGTCTGGTTACCGATTTAATTATGGGCACTGTTGTTGTTGTTATTTTTACATATTATCATTTCTACAGTTTTCAGAGAAAATAGAACAAGATTTTCTATTGGTATTGATTATTTTTTTTAATTTAATAACTGGAAGATTATGGATTTTGTTATATATATCAGCATGAAAACTAGGAGCAAGCAGAGAAAATGTTTGATATCAGAGCTTCGGAGGAAGTGGCGAATCTAGGAAATAATTTCACCGAGGTTATATTTTTTCACTAAAAATTATAATAATTTCATAATATTTTTATTTAATATTAGAATTAACATATTATGTAAAAAAATCAAAAACAAATATATAGTTAAACGGTATAATATATAAATATAAATTTCAGAATATTAAATAAAATAAAACTAAATTAAGATTAAAGTTAAAAGAATTGTCTAACAAAGAAAAAATATTAAAATGGCATATCCGAAACTTATTTTAAAACATCAAAGAAAAATATGAGCTGTAAAAGTTTGGAAAATAAAGCAATGCTAGGAAGTACAACACATTTACAAGATAAGTTTTTAATTTAGACCCAAAAAAAGGTTTTTATTTAGACCTAGGGATGTTAATATGGTAAAACCCACCCATTTAAACCCACCTCATTTAAGACCCACCACATTTAGAATCCATATCCATTTAGACCCATTTAAAAATAGATCTATTAGGACTATCCATTTAAATGTAGTTATTTTACTCTAACCCATTTAAACCTATTTAGACTCATTTAAACTGTTGTTGACTTTTTATTCTAATTTTCTGTTTCAATTAAAATTACGCTTTCCTACTAAAACCGAAAATTACGTTTTCCCGCCAAAACCGAGAAATTACGTTTTCCCGCCAAAACCGAGTAATTATCTTTTCCCGGCAAAACCGAGAAATTATCTTTTCCCGGCAAAACCGAGAAATTACATTTTCCCGACAAAACCGAGAAATTACCTTTTCACGGCAAAACCGAGAAATTACATTTTCCTGGCAAGACCGAGAAATAACGTTTTCCCGCCAAAACCGAGAAATGACGTTTTCCCGCCAAAACCGAGAAATGACGTTTTCCCTTCAAAACCGAGAAATTACGTTTTCCCGCCAAATCTCGATTTTCAATTTTGGTGGAAATCTCAATTTATTTTTATTTTCAATTTTGGTGGGAAAAAAACTATTTTCAGTATTAACGGGAAACGCGATAAAATGTGTGAAAAAAAACAAATAGACTAAATTTAAGTTACTAAAAAATATAAATGGGTTAAACGGGTCTCCGATTATTTTAGACAAAACCCATTTAATAAATGGGTTTTAATAGGGTTACCCATTTAAAAACCGATTAGTTAAATGGGTCTAAATGGGCATTTATTTTTTCCAGAAACCATTTGAAACCCACGAAAATAAACTCATCTTAACATCCCTATTTAGACCCAAAAGCAGGAGTCTACTCACGTTAATTATCTTAAATTGGGCCTTAAGCTCTATAAAAGGAGAGAAAGTAAGTGAAACCGGGTGCAAAGCAAAGCTTCGAACTTGAATTAGGGGAGTCAAATGGCAGAAAATGTAACTCTCTTATGCTTTTTTTTTTGGGTCAAATTTAACTCTCTTATGCTAAATTTATGTTTTTCAATATTTTACTGTTGTTAGGTGACCCCACTTGCCTCTATGTGGGTCCACCCCTGCTCGGAGGTATAATGATAAGGTACGAAACAAAGTGTCACTGCTAGAAATCATTATGGTTAGAATAGTTCTACTTCTATGGGGCAGTTAACTGTATTCTGGTTGTTAGCGTTATTTGGAACGTTTTTCATCTATTAATTTGTTAGGTACAGTTACTGACTTTTTGAGTAAGCTGATATTCAAAAATCTGATCTGTCTGTATGCTTTGCTGGCATAATGACCTTTTTGTGTACAAACAAAATACGAGTCAAAAGTCAATAGTAAAAATTCATAATATGAAACTTTTTTTTATTCCAAGTTTCTCCTAGCTATTGATTTTTCTAAGGATGTTGGACAATATCTCGAACTCTAGAAAGAACTTACCGTTGTTACCGAGTGCTTTCTCTACTCACACAACGACACAAAAGTTCAAGCAAAAACTGGAGAATCTTCTGGACCATTATGGTTAACAAGTCCAGTGAATCTAGTCTACCACAAACTGTGAGAACAGTACCTTTATTAACATGCAATATGTGAGTTTTCTCTTTTTTCTTGTCGGCGACAATGTGAGTTTTCAAATTCAGTTTTTAATTGGTAAATAATAGAGTTAAAGAGTGGAATAAAAAAGGTTGAAAAAAGAGGAAATAAAAAAAGTGAAACTGGAAAGAACATTTTTCTTTTGATTAGTTAGAGTAACATATTAATCTAGTTTCCTTCTTTTTGGCGTTAATGGGTGAAAAACGTTTTCCACATGATTAGTTTCGTTAAAACCAAAGCAACTCAGCAGAAAAGAAAACAAATTATTCTATATTAGATTTAATAATTGTTTCACTTTATTCATGTGTTTATTATTATAAGGAGTGCCATTTAACTTTAAATCTACTTTCGTTATTTTATTAGAAATAATAAAGATAAATCATATATTTATAAATATTGAATATGGTTGAACATCCAATCAATTAAGATCATATATGATTTACCAAAAACTTTCAATAATTTCATAGTTATGAATTAGTATTTTATTCTAATATCGTATCTTATTTTGGTGAAAATTAAATAATTAAGTCATTTATATAATAAACATATTATCGATATATCATACATTTTATGAATTAAATTTTAAATATTTAAATAAATTGGATAAAAAACACAAGAGTAGAAAACCCAACTTAGTTAAGATTTAAAAGTAAAAAAACTGATATTTTATAATCTATAAGATTTAACAAAAAAAAGCTATATGACCAGAAAAAATTAAAATGAAATCTAGATCAATTATAGATTGAGCCCAGTGGTGAAACCACCCCACTTTACAGAGAGAGTGGTGAGTGCATAACATTCTTAATGTTTGTAAAATTTAGTGTATTTTTAGCAAATTTGATACATATATTGATATATATATATATATATATATATATATATATATATATATTCTTATTTGTTTCTTAATCTTTTTTTTGTCCGAATTTTTTTGTTTCTACCCTGGTTGAGTCACGTGTGTCGCGTGTGGAATATGCTGGTCCATCTTTTTGTTTTTGTTTTTGTAACAATGCTGGTCCATCTTCATATTCTAGGAGAATCATTTTTTGTTGAACAAAGACAAGATAGATAGGTTACACCTTTAAAAGCATCTCCAATAGAACTTTTTTCCCATTGAATTTATTAATATATGTGTTATATACATGTAAATATTATATATAAAAGTAATTATGGGGTCTATATTTTTGTGGAATTCCATAGGTAAGTTTTCAAAAGAAAATTTTAATTTAAAAAAAAAACTCTTATTTATAGGGTTCAATTACTTATAATATATATATATACAAAACATATATATTAAAAACTCTAATAAAAAGAATTTCATTGGAGGTGGTCTAATGATTAGGGCTGGGCACAAATACTCGTTACTCGCCTTATATTCGTTACTTGACCCGTACTCGCCTCGTTTTTTCAAGTACTCGTCGTTTTCAAGTCAAGTATCAAGTCGCTTAGTTTTGCTATTTGCAAGTATAAGTCAAGTAACAAGTATTACAAAGAAATTAGTGACCCGCCTTGATATTACTTGTTACTTGTTTTGCAACNCGCCTCGTTTTTTCAAGTACTCGTCGTTTTCAAGTCAAGTATCAAGTCGCTTAGTTTTGCTATTTGCAAGTATAAGTCAAGTAACAAGTATTACAAAGAAATTAGTGACCCGCCTTGATATTACTTGTTACTTGTTTTGCAACCGAAAGAAACGATAACTAGACCATAGAAACAAAAGTCTTAAAAATATATTTATTTGATGTAAGAAATAAAAAATATTTTGTATCGAAACATTTATGTATTTGTTTCTTCTTCTTTATAATAGGTACAAATATTTTATTTGAAATAATTTTGTGTTTTTTCTCAGTTGAATAAACAAAATAAACTTTCATAATCTTTTTTTATACATTATTATCTAATAAATAGTTATTAGAAACTTGAATAAAATATCCAAATAATTCATAAGTATTTGCAAGTAATAAGTAATCGAACGAGGCAAGTAACTTGCAAGTAACATATTTTTGGACAAGTACTCGAAATAACAAGTACCTGTTTTCGACAAGGCAAGAACAAGTCCGAAAATTCATTACTCGTTCAAGACAAGTCAAGTATCAAGGATACACAAAAACGCAAGTAATCGCCTTGCGCCCACCCCTACTAATGATGCAGTAAATAACAAACCCATATGTCACGCGGGAACACGTGGAGGGAAAAACGCTAGTTACTTACGGTTAATAAATAATAATTGCAAAACCAAGACTGGTTTTAAAGTCTGGAGATCTTCTTCTGGAAATCAAAATCCGATCATGGTTCATTTTGAGTGGGCTCGAGACATATTAACAAAGCAGCAAATGTCTAGTTAAATATAATATTGTTGTAGTTATAATTTCTTAATATGTGATTTCTATCCAATAATATTTTCATGTTTCATTGCATAAAGCAGTGACACGTTAAAATATAATCCCTCTGTCCCTAAATAATCAATGTTCTAGACTTTTCACAAATATTAAGAAAACTCATTTCATTTTGATTGTAAATGCATTGTTTTTTTGTGAATAACAATTTTCCATAATTTTTAACCAATAGAAATTCAATAAACACCATTAATCTTTTTGAAACTTACAATTTTTCATTAAATTATTCATTGAAAATGTAAAAAATGCATCTTTTTGAAACAATTTTTTTTCTATAATATACATCTTTTAGGAACGGAGGGAATAAAAGACAGACAAAGAAGACTTCTGTAACATCGAGGATAATAAATAGTTAAATACTAGTATTTTCTCCGTTTTTTAATATTTGATATTTTAGAAGAATTTTTTAATTTCTAAATAAATGACATTTTAAAATTTATTAAAATTCAATGTTAAATGACCACTGATATTTTATTATCTATTTTACTATTGGTTGAATTATGATTAGATAAATAGTTAATAATATTTTTGTTTAAAAAAATAATAATAAAATATTTTCTTAAT